TTGAATTTGTCACTAATTATAAAATTATCAATCAAAAAGCAAACCTTCCATTGAGGTCTTATGATAGAAAAGTATCTTATAGATGTTTATCTTGTGCTCATACTAAATAGTTTTTTTTAAATTCTAATAATAAATGCGGCTGATTTGTAAAGATCATTCGGTACTTTAAGGCGCTTATTTAAGTTCCAATTATATTTTCCTAAAATTTGTTGCTATATGTTATGACATCAGGCAAAAATTTTGTTTCCATACCTTTATTTTTTCGATTGTTGTATAAACATCCCTCTTTGACTGAAGTGTTTTCCTCCTTGAAACCATTTTGTGTGACACCGTTTGTACAGATTACATTTTGGTTGAAACTGCTGACTGTTTTATATTGCAAATATTGCTTTGTTGATTTTCTGAGCTCACAATGTAGATCATCAATATCCCGATCACCAATTCTGTCTACATGCTGGAAAATTATTGACTGAATTTCTCGTTTTCCTTGCCTTTTCTGACAAGAACAACTGGACATGTAACATACTTCCGATTTTTCTGCCAATATGCAAAGAAACATGACACCTTTTTCGTTTTTGTCTAGGACAGTAGAAAGTTTGCAGTTGATATCTTTGGAACATTTGTCAAGATGAATTTTCAAACTTTCATCTGAAATGTTGAGAGGGACAAGAAGTTAAATAATTATTGGATTATCACAAATCTATGTACGTTTTAGGGGGAGAATTATGGCACGACGATTGGTTCAAAAGTATTTTCTGCACAACGATCAAGATTTTATACACGAGCTAGATGAAAAAAATACACGAGTAAAATAAAAATGCACGTATAGGTAAAAATTGCACATAGTTTGAAAGATTTTTACACAAACAAAGCGAAAAACACACGAATCCGACATTTTTTGCACGATTTAGGGGTATAATATGCACAAACAAAAATCAAAAATTGCACGAGCAGAGGAAACTAAAAATTACACAAACAATTTTACTGCGCATACAGCTGCGCATATCATTATTATGCACATAGAATATTCATTGTGTTCTTGGTTTTCTGTACTCTTTATCGCTTCATGTATACTTAGCTGGATGTAATCGAGAATGGAAATTAAATGGCGTTGACGATGGCATGTGCTTTATTTTGCTTATTTTAATTTCTTTGCTAAAACTCGGTCCGATTTCTAGCTAATGTCAATCGAACAATTATGAAGTGTTTCCATGTGATCTATTTGTGAGAATACGTTATTCGATATTGACCGAGATCATAACCAATATACGGAGGTATTAGCTGATGCCAGACAAAAATTCTGACAAGAGAAATCGTATAATGCGGGTAAAAAAAATGCATACTATGCATACTCAACTCCCAACTAAAAGTACCTAACGATAAACAGTACATTTGACTAGGATCTTGATTTTCTAAAAAAAAAAATGTTAGAATTATTTTATGTTTTTTTATTTAAATAAACTCTCTATAGCTTTTAAAATTTCTAATTTGTAGATACATCTTTAACAGAAATTACTTGTATAAAAATGAAATTAACACTCGCATAATGAATCGATTAATAAAGTTGATTCTTCATGATTTTGGTACTTTTCATTTGTACCTATTTTATTTTCTTTACCACTCGGAATAGGAAATTATATATACCTATATTCGATTCATTTGGCTGGATAAACATTTTTTTTAAGTTGAAGAACGTTGGGATTACGTTAGATGTATACAGCATGTATTTAGATCTCATGCGCAGATCTAGAGGGGGTCGGGGGGTTACCATAGACCCTCTTGGAAAACGCTGACCCCCCCCCCCCCCGGGAAACGCGAATATGTGTGTGAAATGGATGTGGAAAATGAAAGATTTGAGACAATAGAAGTCATAACACAACTCTCTCTCTCTCTCTCTCCCCCCCCCCCCCCCCCCCCGAAATAGATTTTTGACGTTTTGGCGAGTTTTTTTTTTCCTTTCTTTCTTTCTTTTCTTGTCAAGAAATTTCTGGGATTGAATTTATTTTTTGACTGGGATGGAACCACCCCCCCCCTTGGGAAAAATATGTGGATCCGCGCCGGCATCAAACGCCAAACAAAAAAAATATTTTATTCTAATAACACATGTATTCATACTTATGAAATATCAGGATATCAGTTTCGTTGGAGATCTTAAGTCTACTTTGTTATGAATTCTTTTCCATGTAATCTCATATTTTCAGTTATAAACTACTCAATTAAAAACAAGACATTTCTTGTGAGCGTTACCCTCATTCTTAATGACGATTACATGATAAATGTTTTCCTTTTAATAAAAAGGACCAGAAAAAAGGAGGATATATATGCCCTGTGTGTTTTATGTACATGCGCTTTTGTGTTTTATTACTTTTAAAACAGTGTGCTTTACTAAGTACATTTATATTACATACAATGTTACAAAAAGAATGCAATAAAAAAATTAGAATGGATACAGCAGTGTCATAGAACGCGTTTTATCACTCTAAAAAAATGCAAATAATTCATGTTCTTTATTCTGTTTACATTTCAAATTCGACTTCATGATTTTTAAAATTATTTTCCAAACACTAAGTTCCTTGTAAGATTACTTTTTTTACCCAAATACATGTATATGGCCATTATATAAAAAATAACATGATTATATTATTATGAAACAAAATTAATCATCAATTAGGCCTATAGAATCCCCCCCCCCCCCCCGGTTTTTGTTGCTGTTGTTGTTTTTGTTTTTTTTTGCAAAAAGAACCTACTTCCATTGTAAAATGTCCACTGAAAAGCCCCCTATTTTGTTGCTGGATTGGAATTGAATGTGCCTCACTATCTCAACGAAATAGGATTTTCGAGATTGGACGCTTTACTTTTTTTTTGCATGTTAATAAGGTTTTTTAGGTTATTTGGCAACCCCCCCCCCCTTTTAAAAGAGATACTACATATGTATCTGCATATTATAATTTTAAATTATATATTTTTTTTTAAATTGTCTAACTCCTTTATAAATATGAATTTTTCCTATTCAAAATAATCTACTCTAGAAAAACAGAAATTAAGTTGAAATTCACATAAGTAAAACACTGTATAATTTTACATTTTACATTTTCATGGATACATGTATCATGTATTTATGTAATCACCACACGTTGTTCAAAATTTAAGACTACATGTACTACTTTTTCACATTGGGCAAATTCCACAATCCAGATGACAGCAACATTGCTTCAAAATCTCTGTACGAATTGCTAATAACCTCCAACCAAAAGGTATCATTGAAGTGTCAAATAACTATAAATCGATTAGCATACACGTGTCTTTCATTCCATCCCAGTAGGGAGGAATTTCTCGATGTGAAAAGGTCACACATCCACATTCTTAATTATTACCAAAGTACACACAGTGGGTGGTGGAGGAGAAGAGTTTGTTTTGTTGTTAACTCTCCTGTATTAACTCACGCTGTTTTTATTTATTTACCTTTACTATGATAATATCATTGTTTTAAACTTTCAAAAGATATTGCTATATAGAGGAATGAAACAAAAAATCTAACAATTAAACACGCAACTGAAAATATACAGTTTATATGCATCCCCCTTTTAACGTTATCTATATTTTAATCGGGGATGTTAATTAATATACATATTGTGTGCCTGTCAATTTTTACATGTATATAACACGTTAAGCATAGTCTTGAGAGTCTAGCGTAATTCTGAAAGACCGAATCTTTTTTAAAAGATTAATATTGTTAACACATACCCATCCCCTTGTTTTATAACGTTTCAAGCTTCCAAGCCACACTGATCTGTTCTCTAATGAATATTAATGAAATGTGCGCAATGAGGATGCGTCGTATATTATGTCGATCTTGTATTCTCACTTGTGCAGTTTTCGTTTTTACGTTTGTGTAATTTTCTCGTTATATCGTGTAAATATTTTGTTGATTGTGTAGTTTTTGTATAGTTTATGTAAATTTGAATAACTTTGTGTGTATTTTCCGCGCTTTGTGTAAGTTTTGACTAACTCGTGTAATTTTTGTTTAAAGTCGTGCAGAAAATACTTTTGAACCAATCGGCGTGCCATAGAGAATAATGTCTTTCCATTAGCTGAATAGATAAATAGCATAAAACAGCAAGTACAATGTATCCCTATGTCGAGTATCGAGGAAAGTAAATATCATTAACAATATGCATATTAATTCAAGTTAAAAAAAATAATAAAAAAAAATCTTTTTAAGAAGGATATAGAGATAACGAACAATGCAAATATCAAAGTCCATTTAACATTATCTTTCTCTTTTGAGACCTATTAATATATGATTGGAAAATGTTTTGCATAAAGAACCTTCATTGCAAAAATTAAATATCAAATAAACCTGGTAATCTTTTGAGGTGGAATGCTCACTCCTCCATGACACCTGATCCCATCTCTTATGTCTTAAAGATTCGTGCTTGCTCTTCTCCTTTTTTTATTATTGGATGGACTTTTGAGCTTTAGTGCTGTTTGTTATCACGATATATTTCATTTTGTTTCTTTCTTATAATATATATCTATTTTAAGGTATTGATAAATTATTTTTAAAGGATTTTTTTATATATCTTACCTTCTTCATGACTATATAAAAAACCAGTGATTATATTTCTCAATCCGTCGAAAAATCTTCTGTAAAATTTATTTATAAAAATTAAATTTATACTTGAATTCATAATAGACTTTTGCAATAAACACTGGCTTTTACAGTTGACGGTTAACTTGACATTTCAACCTGTATCGTGTAAGGAGATACAGAAGTGATAATGGATAAGAATACCTTTCTAGTGGTCAAAGGTAGTGCCCCTTATGTTGTTAGGGGCATAACATGTGAAGGCCGGGAGTTGAGGGTAGTGTGATTGTCGTTTTCTTTAAGGACAGCTGATTTATGCTTTGAAAAAAAACATTTATTTTAGCTGAATTAAATGTTGAGCAAAATGTTTCTATCGTAAAAGAGCTTCCGTACATTGCTCTAGTGTAAAAGTTAGCTTTCAACTGTAAAGGTCAGCGCTACTCGCTAAAGTCCAATATTACATCTCGATAAAAAAGGAAATATTTAGATGAATGGTTTTCGTAGAAATAATAATCAATATTTCAGTTTAAAACATACAAAACCTCTCATACCCGGTCTCATCTGTTGCATTGGTTGTTAATCCAAAATTTCTTTTCCAAGGAAGGGCACAAGTATGTTTTGAATGAGTAACACTTGAGGTGGCATCGTAGAAAACATGAAAACCAATAATACACACTAAAAATTAAAAAAAAAAAAAGTAATCTTGATTTAAAAAAAAACGATCCTTATTTTCTTTTACGAGTTTGAAAGAATAAATATTGCTTAACATACAAATAATACAATCAAACAATATTTTACCGAAAAAGCCAACAAATTGGTTCAATATTGAAATCATTCTTCAAATCTGCATCCACTTTCAAATTTTTTCTTTTCGCTGACAAATTTATTTTGTTTTAAATGCATTTAGTTATTGACACAAATATTTATTAACTTATCCGATATCACATTTTTAAAACCTGTAAGGAAGGAAGCAAACAAAATAGATATAGGATCAAGTTAAATGACCTTAATTCCACACATAATACATGTAGTAATGCATTTCCGATTTGCTCAAATCAGGAAAACGACGTTTTTCTTTTAATTATATATTTCTAAATAGAATAATATTACCCCAATATAGACACAAATTCTGAATGCCCGGGGACTCCGTTGTATTTGTGACGCCACAACATAATTTTTTGACGTCTCTTCATTCTTATAATGAAATAATTAAGAAATCCTTATATAAATCAAAAATGTATCTATTAGGTGCAATTGAAATTTAATAAAAAGAAAAAAAATCGTTGAGATGTATGTACACTCCGTCTGTGGAAATTGCAAGGTCGATCATCTTAACCTGCCGATCAAAATTGCAAATGTCGTGAAATATATAAAGCTTGTACACAAATAAATGACTAGTAGTCACAACACGGGCATGGATTGTTTCTTCCATGAGAACCGGGTTGCTCTGAACATTGAGATAGGAGAAGTTATTCGGGTCAATTGTTAACAATGCATTAAAAAGTTTATACATAAGAATGTCCTTTCCCTTTATGAATTACGAGATACACAATATATTTACTCCAAGAAGTACATCTTTATCAATATATGTGTATTTTTAATACTATGAATTGATTATCCTTTGCCATCAAAAACGAAAGATCCCTTTTTAGAACATAAATTTTACTTGTCGCATAAAAACGTACGTTACACAGTTTGTTTTTTATATTTACTGAGTCAATTTTTTTTATGATCGATAGGTTATGTCTGTGTTCAATTATATTTTATATTTTATGCAGCCAACAGTTGCTCGAGAAATTAATAAAATAATAAAATATTACCGTTTTTGTTGGATTTCCATGCAACTAGAAGTTTTCCGTAAATCTTCTCGACTATAGTCTCATTCAGACGCATGTCGTATCACGCAAATCGAAACAATTTGATGATTAAGACTTATTTTCATTATTTTTTTTTTTTTTTGTTTACTTCCATTGTATTCTTGTTTATTTTACATAAAGATTTCAAATAACTTTCAAGTACACACAAATGACGTCAAATAATGACGTCATTGTCTTTGAGAACTGTGGGGAAAAGCTACAAAAAGGTACATACCCTTGAACATACACTTAAAAAAATTTTTGAAGTATTTGCGCAATGCTACATTACAGAAATGATTTGTCATGAAATTAGTATTAGTTTAACGACTGCCGGGTGTCTTCAAGGAATTCACAGGAAGTCCTCATTATGCTTGAAATTAATTAATATTTATAGTCATCATTTCGTAAATTCTATGGTCAATAAAATGAAATGACCTTGTCAGCAAAAACAATTTATTGAAAAAAAACAATTGAGTGAAATGCTGACTGATGATTTAATACCAATTGTCATTCCATTATTTACACACTGAATTGGCAACTGATTTTTGCGTCATTTTTCGAAACCGGGTGGAAATACACAACAAAACACATTCCATCTGGTTTATAATACGTGGGTTTTATTGTGATGGTAGCAATATTGCCCATTATGGTAAAGATGGTAAATATAGATGACCCTGTAAATATGTATTAAAATTATAAACACAAGAACAATAACTCTGCATGCAAATTTTCACAAGCAAAGCAGTTTTAACATAAAATAAAACCAAAATTTCCAATGTAAACTATTATCCTTTTTAACAACAATGTTTGTCATAAACTCATTATTAATAAGCTTAGAATATTCATAGTTTCTGATGAACACAAACTAGGTAAATTTCAAATAACAGATAACCTCATGCAAAACTCTCAAATTACATGAATTGAACAAATAAAGAAAAATGAGTTTAAATACTTTCAAAAATAGCTTATAATTCATCAATATTTAAAAATGATGCTGTGTTCATTTTTATATCAACACACAGTTAACCTTACCTCCCATGAGGTGCAAAGGTCTGCTACAGTATATATACAAAACTCAGCTGTCTCAATAATATGGTACGTGTTCTAAATGTAAAAAATGATATACTGCTCAATGTAGGGAATTATTTAGAAAAATGAATACTTTAGGAATTTGTTTACTTCAAAACTTTATAACTTAAAAACACTCATTTTCTCCATTCTAATTTTAGCAAATTATTTAGAAATAAAATAAACTTTATTTAATGCTATTATATTTACATTACTTATTTACAGCTTTCACACAAATCTCACACAAGACATTCACTCCCTAGCATACTCAGTCTAACATTCAAACATTCACACAAAGTAGATAAAGTAGGGAAAATAAAGAAATGTGAAAACCTAAACTAAACACTAACCTGGTAATGGAATAATCTCAGTCCATACTTATTTCAAACTAGGAATATCAAGTACTGATCAAACCAAAACTTCTAAAAATGTCTCAGAACATACACACCCATCAGAACGCTTGGGCATGAAAAACAAGAATAGAATTCCCTCCTAAAATCACCTGACCAATCCAGAATGACCACTATCTAACCAGATCTATAAATAACTACAAATCTACAGGTAAACCCAAAAGATAACTAAATACTTTACCTGTAAGACTTCATAAATGATAAAATAACAAAACACATACTTTAATTTATAGTTTGAATGAAATAAATCTTTATTTAAATATTTCAATTTAAACTCTGAAAATGATCATAAAATCAAAGAAAATACCTGAAAAATAAATTCATTAAAAACATGTAAAATTTCACTCTATTACATACTCCCCCGCGTTGGAAAATGACGTCTCGGCATTTCACATCTGATCTGTTTCTGAAAACAAGATTTGTTTATTTAGATGATAAAATTTCGAGAATAGTTCTGCCAGCTTCTTCCTGCAAATTAGAAAACAAAGAAGAATTAGAAACTAAAGAAGTAATGCATGAAACTTTCTTTTCCCAATCTTCTTTTTGAGTAGCTTGTACATGCACTGCAGATTTATTCAAAATGAACTCTCCTGCTTGATATCGAACAGGTAGTTTCTTTTGTCTTGTTGACCTTCTCAGAGGAACTTCTATTTCCTGAGATGGTGCTGCCTCTGGAATTTGCTCCTGAGCAATCTCTCCTTCTCCACTAGCGCTAGTTGTCACAATATTTGGTAAATTAGTCTCCTGAACCACATCAGATTCCTCAGCAATCACTGGACTGCTGTCCTCAGGCTCTTCTTGACTAATTTCTACTCTCCATTCAGTCTCATCCTCAGAATCACTATCATTGGTTTGATCATGAATGGTATCAGTTTGTTCCTCATCAACTCTCTGTACTGCAGGCTTACTCTTAACCTTTCTTGGAGCTGGTTTTGGTGCTGCTGGTGCATCATTTAGGAAACCGACTGGAAGTAAGAGATTACGGTGCAGTGTTCGAGTCCGGCCTTCACCATTTTCCCTCTTGACTGTGAAAACAGGAATGTCTCCATTTGGTTGACCAATAACTGTGTACGGTTCCTGCTCCCATCTGTCAGAAAGCTTGTGTTTACCATCAAAAGCTACTATTTTGACCAGAACTCGATCTCCTACCTTCACTGTTCCGCCTCTTACCTTTGTGTTGTAGGTATCCCTCTGCTTAGTCCGTGCTTTCTCAGATGCTGCTGCTGCTAACTCATATGCCTGTTGTATTCTGCGTCGCAGGTCAGCTACATACTGAGTCGTTGGTTCCTTCTCATTCTCTCTAAGGCCAAAAGTCATGTCCACTGGCAATCTAGGATTTCTACCAAACATTAGTAGATAAGGTGTCTGTCCCGTGCTCTCGTGACGAGTACAATTGTAGGCATGTACTAAAGGATTGACGTATGCCTTCCAATTGGCCTTCTTCTCAGATGGTAGGGAACCAAGCATATCTAGCAGAGTCCTGTTGAATCTCTCACACATCCCGTTTCCCATCGCATGGTAGCTCGTTGTCCTTGACTTACACATACCTGTAATACTGCACAATTCCTTAATCACCTTGCTCTCGAAGTTGGCACCCTGATCAGAATGAATTCTGGCTGGTATACCATAATGGAGAATAAAGTGGTTGAAGAATGCTTCTGCTGTAGTCTTGGCTAACTGGTTCCTGGTAGGTATTGCAATGGCATAGCGAGTGAAATGGTCAGTGATCACCAAGATGTTCTGGTACCCTCCCTTGGATGTTTCTAGACTTAAGTAGTCCATACAGACCAACTCCAAAGGTGCACTGGTGGTGATGTTCACAAGAGGAGCTCGTTGATTGGTTGGTGTCTTCCTCCTTGTACATCTTCCACACTCGCTGATCCATGTCTCTACATCGCTGTGCATCCCAGGCCAGTAAAATCTATCCTTGATAAGCGACAAAGTTCTGTCTTTCCCAGGATGACCCATATCGTTGTGCATTGCCTCTATCACAGTTGATGCATGTGCAATAGGTAGGACAAGTTGATGTTTCACTCCTTCGTCTGTTGTTGTTTCTCGATGCAACACACCATCTATTATCCTCAAGTTGTTAAATTGTCGTAACAGGGGGTTTGGTCCTACTTCCTTCCTGGATGGTTTTACTTTAGATCTAACATACTCCTTCACTCTTTTAATGTCTGGATCTAGATCTTGGGCTTTACACCAATCAATAATATTTCCTGTACTGGTTCCTCGTGGATCCTCATCATCAACAACTAGTGTTGGAGATAAAGTCAGAGATTCTACATAAGCTGGTACAGTAGACTGGCAAATGGCTTGTACAGTCTCAGTGTTGA